AAATATAAACAAAATGATTTTCGCATCTTATGCTTAGAAATAATAATAAAAGAAGACTTTATAAAATGGAATGCAAACCAAACGACAATAGAAACATTTCATTTGCTTAAAAATAGTAAATTTGTAAAATTATGAGGAAATTTTTAACACTTCTTTATGAGCCAATAAAATGTAAAAACAATAGGACAACGTAAAAAATGTATCAAAATAATTGTAATAAAATATCTGAAAAGGCTTCCTAATAGAACTCGTTATCATTTGCAAGTTTAAAATATTGAAAAGGAAAAAATAATAAAAGGAACACAAAATAATATTAATCGTGGACGACATTGAAACTGTCAGGGCGTTAACATTCTATGAAGATAATTCACGTTAAAAAAGATGGTATATAAAGACTTGGTGAGATAGAAGGGAAGGGACGACTTGTGTGCATTTGTTTTAAAGATCTGCGTAATTACCCCTTCCCATCTAAAAAGATTATACCTGAAAAACATACCGATATTTTTAAGATAGCTTTATTTTAAATGCCAGTTAAATGCTTCAGTTTATCGAAAGATCAGAATAAAATTTTATTTTGAAAGAGAGGTTTTTTATACCTTGGTATAGAGTATTATAAATAATTGTTACAGCAAGTAATAAAATATTTAATCATTTTAACTTCCCTGAACATATATACCCTGCAAATACGGGGGTGGGGAAAGAAAGCCCACTTGAATTATGATTTAAAATAATGAAAAAAAATAGTTTTATGTACTAAACACACACATTCTACACTGTACAAATGTTTTACGAAACTTTTCCTCTTCAATGGTAAGTTTATCTTTGGAAATTGTAATGATAAGATCATTTCTTTAATATGCAAAAACAATGTTTTAAAAACGCCAAAGAAAAAAAAGCAAAAATAAATATATATATATATATATATATATATATATATATATATATATATATATATATATATATAATGTTTAAAAGGTTTTCTTTCTAGTGTAAAATGTCGATGCTTATCTTTGATTTAAATAAGCAAACATAATTTCTTTTTCTCTTAAGTGAAAAAAAAATATCGTCTACTTTTTTATGATTAAGAAAACTAATGCGGAATCGCATTTGTTTTTTACTCAATACAAAAGTAGTGAAAATTAAAAGGCTATTACTGCAACTTATTTTTTACACTTTCTCTCAAAAAGAAAGCTTGAATATTTCATATTTTACACGACCTATTCTTTTATCTGCCTATTTTCCTTTTCTCGTCTGGAATTTTTTTTTTCTCCGCCGTAACTACTTCTTGAAGGAAAAACAGGGAATTATGAGTGTGGTGGGGGAAAATTTTATTGCAGTTTTTCCCTCAAAATCTTCCATCGGGTTCTTACATGCCTCGCGTAAAGATGAAAGCTCACAGATAAATCCTGAGGAATCGCGAGTTAAGGTTTGGAGACATGTATAGGATTGGAAACTATGGAATCCTTCAAAACAAAAGAAATAAAATAGAGAAAATTCCGGCATAAATCTCGTTTCTCAGTCGTGTCAGAAATCTGGCCGAAGAATTATGTATGAAGACGTTGTAAGGGATTTATCTCCTTTTGAAAAAGGGTAAAAACTTGTTGGAATCGTACTCTTAACACCGATATTGCATTTGAGAGAATTTTTTTCTTCATATATCTTTTCTCTCTCTTCCATGTTCGTTTTGAGTGTTATCGTTCAATGGTAATGTTCATAGAGGGAAAAAAGTTAAAATCTTGTAAAATGTTGCGGTTCGAGGTTCGCGATATTAAATCATTGTAGAGAAGTGAGAAAATATTTATATAGTCTACAGTGTTTGTAAAAGTATTTACTTTTAGTACAAAGGAAAAAAATTCTGTGGACTTACGTTATAAAAAAAATACAAGCTTTTATTTTTTAGATTTTTCCTTTTGACACGTTCTGTAAATTATTATTTTTTTTAGTAGAATTCTTTTTAGATATTGTGTTATGGTAGTTTTTGTTGATTTATTTATTGCGTTTCATTTGCTTGTATGATTTCTTACTTTGAATCAGCAGAAAACTAAATTGTAGCAGAATTCAGTATTTCTTTGGAAAAAAACTCAATTCCAAGGTAATTCTGCTTTATTTGTTGATTATGGGTGAAAAAATATGTGTGTACTTGGAATTGCATTGACTCGAATTCTTCATTAAAATTAATTCTGATTATAAAAATGTATTTGACTGATAAATTTTTGATTCATTTTTTCTCAAAAATAAAGTAGAAAAATATGTTTGGTAATTTAAATCTTTTTTTTGTATATTGCTGCGGGGAACTTCACAGCGATTTTTCTTAAATTTCTTGCAACTATAGATCTCAGCGTTTGGAACTTAAAGCAAGTGTACTGGATAACACCTGAGCTAGTATCTCACTCACCAAACTTTCACGCTCTAAAGTTTTTTAATGCTTAAATAAGGCTTAACCGTGTCAACAGACGATTTATTTGACACTGCTGTCGTGAAGGGTGGCCATGTAGCGTAATAGTCATGGTCACGAACTTGGGGCCAGCGTTGTCCAGTCCGGATTCGGGCCCTGATACCGTTGAAGACCTGCCGTGTAGAGTGGCTAATGCATGTAAACCTATCTTGAGTCAAAGTTCTCACGTTGGTGGGATGTGAAAGTAGGAGAATGGGATGTCGTTCTTGTCTCTTGACCGTGGTTCAAAATTATGAGGTGTGTCATCAGAGTAGCTCTCGTGTTGCTTCAAGTGCGCCTTTAACGGTGGCGTAACGTACACCCTCTCATTACGGGGGCAGGGTTATAGGGGGACAGCCAAGTATATACCTTTTGTAAGATCCCCCAAAAATGGCAGTATGTTGTATGTGGAATGCCTTTACTATTCGTGAGTATATTGCTCTACAGGGAGATAACATATTTAGTAATCACCAAAACTAAGATTAAATCGTTACTACATTTGCACTCACATTGTAGATCAAATAATTAATTTGCGCTAATTGGGCCTTTGCGTCCCGTATTAAACAGAATATCCTGTAAAATAAGGCAATGTACATAGCTAAATACCTGTATGGTAATACGAACATGTATTTTGAAACAAGACTAAAAAATAATAAATAATTCCTCAAGAGAGAATTCAAATGATTACATAATATGTATTAGGTTAAACATCACTACTTAGTTAATGTTGTAATTTTCCGTATGCTAATTACAATTTTTTTTTTAAAAAAATGGGTATCCGGTGTAATGAGGGTTTACTGTACGATGAGGATGTTCATGTGTGTGTTATTACCATCCTCGTGCACGATCTTCCTAATGAATCTTTTCAACATCTTATTTTTGCCCATAATATTACTCATTAGCTTGTATTTATGTTTGCCTCCAAACCAAGATTATGTATCCGAAATGACTATCAACATGTTCTAATCATTAGCAGTTTTTGCATCATCCTTACTTTTATATCTTCCACCGACCAAATTAATTGCTCCACCTGCAACTTTATCCAGTGACTTGACTTAGTGATTTTAATTGGTTTGATGCCATTCTTCCCTGGGAGTTTGTGATGGCGGATAAAAAGAGAGTAGAATTCTTGACTTCTAAGAACTCTTCCAATCCTCCTTCCTCCATTCATTATATGTGGGGATTAACAGAGCTGGAATGAGGTCTGTTTTTCTTACCGTCTAATTGGATGCATGCCTGGGTGGTTCTGTTGCTGACTGATGTTCTAGAATGAAATTTGTTGACTTTGTTCTCTTCGGATGATATTGCATTATGTCTTTCAGTGCGTTTCCACTTATTTTTGTTGTTATTGATTGCTTGTTTAGAGGTATTAACGACCGTTTTTGATGTGCGGGCTTTGTTTTAAATTGTGACTAATTTAATTACCTATATTCTGGGTTGTTTGATGAAAAAAATAAAATACAGAGATAGGAGTGTACGACTATTTTAATTAAATATGACCAGAATTTTTATCCGATCTAAGCTGATCTGTAATCTTAATGTGGGGTCTTCGGATTTATGGAAAAATGAAATGTTAAGCCAGCCGTCTGGCAGCCATTTTGAATTCCTTAACGCTCTGTTGATCTTATGGAATTTCTAATTACTTTCTTATACCTAGAATTGTTGTATTTGATGGAATGCAATTTAGTGCCTTAGAAGAACCAACACCCAAAAGTTCTTTCTGTTAAGTACCTTTTTTTTCTTCTGTTTTTTTTAAAAGTCTTTTGTGTGTGTGTGTGTATCTTAATTATGTTCTTTTGTGTATTTTCAGAGATTTTAAAAAATATTTAAAAATGCTTCCTAAAATCATAAATGCAACTTTGGTACATGATTTACAAATGCAATTTTAAAAAAACATGTCTTATTTTTTTAAGATAAATTTAATTTCATTTTGTTAAATTATTTTTAAAGATTATAAACGGTTGATAAAAAAATTCGATAGTGAAGATAAAAATTCGATTTCTGTAACAATCTCTTTTCACAATTAAATATGTCTGTTAAAGCGATCGATTATAAATTTTACATGAGCTTATTTTTTTTCTTAAAATTCTTCAAACCATTTTGAATGTTTTAAAATATCAAAAAAAAAATCATAACCAAATTCATTAAATGACAAAAAAAAAACACGAAGCAAAATTTATTTACCTTTATTTATTATAATTTAACAGTTCACATAAATTGGTGGGTCCTACTTTTAAAATCGGTCGTGGTAGCTTAGTGTTGTTGTTGCTCATGTCACCTGTCTGACGTAGCCAGATCGAGGCCCACGAACTTCATCGTAGTAAGGGGCTAGAAGTATGCATGTCATTGTCCGTGGCCTTGAGCACCATACAGGTGACAGTACGAATTAGCTCGGCGAAATTCCAGGAAGAGACGATAGATGGCGACACCACCTATCTCCACCTCCACAATTTAGGCATAGATCTGAATGGGAGGGAAATATTCTTCAGTCCCCTGCACTCGTGATTCAGCCCACAAGACTTTCGGACCCACGGATTTAACGAGCACGTACTCGGAGGGTATTTGGTGGCATTGGGCATCGAACCCAAGCCTTCCGGTCTGGAGTCCGATGCTCTAACCACTAAGCTGCCCATGGCTTAGTTGTTATGGTTACTAACTTGTGGCCGGCGTGTCGCGATTTTGAGTCCTGGTGCAACTGAAGACCGGTCGTGTAGAGTGAGCTGGTGTGTCGTTAAATGTGTCGAAATCAAAATCTTCACGTGAGCGAGTTGAGAGGTACAAGCTCACGTATTCTCCTCATCACTTGACCGAGGCCCAAAATTACGAGGTGTGTCTCCAGTAGACCTTGTATTGATTTATAGTGTGACGGTAATATACACATTCTCACTCACTCCAACTTTAAAAAGGAAAGGTCTATATTTACGTTTATTAAAATTTATATACCTAGCTACAATGCTTTTATCCAATTAATAATTAAGGTAAATGTTTACCTTTTCTTCACACAGATTCAGTGTTCGACCGTGTGCGAGCACACGTTATTCTTGAATCCTAGTAAGTTAAGCATAAACGTGGAAGGATCTCGTCTCCGCGCCTAGATATGTGGGAGAAAGGGAAGGAAGACTAGCCAAGTGTGTTGAAAATCACTTAGTTTACTTGCAACACAAACAACACAAGTTCGATCATTCAAAACTAAGATATGCACCCAATTTAAGCAGCATGAAGGCAATTAATAGGGTACGCGAGGTATGAGAACATTCAAATTGCCAGTACCACTTACTTCAATTCAAGTACACTGTTTTCCTAGCTATCTAATCTATATTCAATCTCCTGTGACAAATCGTCACCTTAATTATTACACAATTATCAAGTACTAAATAACTGCGTTACACTTTAAATTTGATTAAATACTGCTTCCCTAGCAGCCTATCCTATCTCTCTCTCCTTCTAACTTGAAAGCCTAGACTTTATATAGTAGTCTTAATTTGCATGTTCACGTTCTCTTCTTCAGAGGGAGCGTTCAAATAAAATAGTTTTTAAGGACCAAAAAAAATGTGTTAGTGAGAAGGTCGCGGATAGAGCCGTCACAAACGTAATTTCGTTATCATTGATGAGTCTTCGTTGTAACTAAAGAAAATTTAATAACATTTAAATGTTACATATTACGATTAAATAAAAAGCATACAGAATTAATAAAAGTTACAATTGAATTACTACAGGAGGAAATATTCATTGGAAGGGGTTGCTCCCGGCGTTCGATTTTACATTCTCCATGGGAAAAGGTAAACACACGATTCCTTTTTTGTGAAAGTCGCAGTTAACAGTTCAGTTCGTAATTTCGTCCGCCAAAAAAAGTAAGTGTAAGTTCCAACAACATATATACAGTGCGGCAAATAAGTTTTAAGACTCGTCCCAGATCGCAGTTTCTAATGGCATCATGAGTGTAAATGTGTATGTGCAGTAGCGCACACAGAAATGTTTCAAGGGTGGTGGGGGGGTTCGGGGTCGAAAGTTCACTATTCTTGTATCATGCTCCTTTTGGTTTTGTGGTTTTTCGGGAACAAAACACAGTAAAGAACTAATTATTGAATAAATAATTAGCGTTAATTAATAAAATTAATCATTAATAACAAATACTTAATTAAATTTTTCGTACTTAAAATTGTAATCCATCGGAAAAAAATCAAGGGCTTTGGAGGGAGTCTGGTCCCCCAGGACTCTCCTTGTGTGCGCCACTGTGCATGTGTCATAACGTCTGCTGACACACTACCAACAAGTTGTACACATTTAGTTATGTATAGTTGAGAGAAGACAAGCGCGCGTTCATTGCAGAAGTGAACTTTTTTCATGATGATTCTTTCAGACGGAGAAAAGTGCTGTGATTAAACTTCACGCAAAACTTGGTAAAAGTGCTTCGAAAACATAACAACTCATGAAACAAGTTTACGGTGGCTGTTGTTTAATTAGATCAAGTGTTTTTTTGTGTGGTACAAACGTTTTTTGGATGGAAGAAATACGGTAGAAGATGATCAACGTATTTGAAGACCAATTTCATCTAGGACACCTGAAATTATTGAGGAAGGTGCGAAATTTCATGGCAAACGATCGCTGTGCGTCCATGAAATTGATGGAAGATTCTTTAAGCACCAACAAAGAAACGATTCAAACCATCCGGCATAAAGATTTGGGCAAAACGAAAGTATGTGCTAAATTTTTGTTCCACACACATTAACCCCTGAATAAAATGCAATGAGAAGTGCACATTGCAGATATATCATTTTAGCCGCTGAAAATGATCCAAACTTCTGAAGTCCATTGCAACAGATGATGAATTCTGGTGTTTCTAATATAATTCCGAAACAAAGTGACAAAGTGCGGAATGGAAGTCACAAAATTCACCGCAAGCAAAGAAATCAAGGAAAGTTCCATCCAAAATCAAAACAATGCTCATTACATTCTTCGATAGTAAGGGAAATCCACGAAGAATTTGTTCCAACTGGACAAACATTTACAGGTCAGTACCACTTAGCTGTTTTAAAGCGTTTGATGGTCAAAGTTCGTTCAGAATATTGGACCGAAAGCAGTTAGTATTTGTTGCACGTCAATGCAACCAGACACACCTCCCTTATTGTTTGTCGAGTTTTGGGAAAAAAATGTCTTGGTTGAACCATCCACTGTATTCAGCTGATTTAGCATCCTGTGACTACTCCTTATTCCAAAAACTTAAAATAAAGTTAGAAGGCTGTTATTTTGGTGATATTTTGACCATACCAGTAGCTCCGACGCATGCTTTCCAGGCCATTCCACAGAGTGATTTCCAACATTCGTTCGATTCAATAATAGATCGCTGTAACAAGTGCATTGAAACCAAAAGGGCCTATTTTGAATAAAAAAAATCAAAACTGGAATTAATTTCTTGTTTCCATTTCTTTTTACAGACCCAGTCTTAAAACTTATTGCCGCACTGTGTGTATATATGTATATTAATATATATATATATATATATATATATATATATATATATATATATATATTCATTTAACATACTGAAACCAAACTCCTAAGCTCATATATTCATAACACAAATTTTAATTTTATTACCTAACAGACATATCCGAACATTTAATGGTACATATGTACCATTAAGCACCCCCTAGAAGCATGCTGTCGCACAATTAGCGACTCCATTACCACAAACCAATTCCATTTATAGTAAATTCCAGTTACCAATATCCAGCTTGAAAATTATTCCCCTCCCCCATGCAAATGAAGATGTGATTTATTCGCGATCTCCATCCCTTTCATTTCGTCGTGGAACCTAAATCCAAATATTCCCCCTCGCCCCTCTTGTTAAATCAAAGATGCAACTCTCGGCTAGATGCCTCTAATGGCAGAGCGGACTGTCATGGAAGAATGGATATCACAGCTCTCTGTACTGCATTTCAATGGCGTGCTTGGGTGATGATTACTTATGCGATTGACACTTGGATATGCGGTAATACTTTAAAGCGTTTTGAAGTGTACTTTGTATCGTCTAAGATGGAAAATGTCCAGAATAGATTTGCATTGCTTTATTAGGGGTGAGGTGTTTGGAGATGATTTAATGTGTTATTTGTGTATTAATTCGTAAGAGATCTTTTATGGAGTGATGGCGTATCTTTAATGATATTTGCTTTTCACGTCTTGTGTCGGAAACGGGCGGATTTTCTCAAGGGTTGTTTGGATTGCTAATGCAGGCTTGGCTTGATCGTTATTATTATATTATTTTTAGATTGGGCTCTGGTTCTCTTTGCTTTCCGAATGTGTGCTTATTGGCTTTTGGAATGGAGACCGTTGTTAGATATTCAATTATTTGAACAAGAATTTGAAACTTTTGGTTAATATTTCCTATGCCAAGGGGTGGGTGAAAAGCGGCATGCCAAGACGGTCAGTTAGGGAATGAAAGATATTGTAACATCGAATTATAAAGCAACACGGAGGCTATTGGTGACGGTACTCGTAATTTTGAGCCTCGGTCAAGTGATAAGGATATCTGAGCTGACACCCCCTCATCTCGCTAATGCGAAGACTTTGATCTCTGTACATTTAACGTGCACCCCCTCTACACGGCGGGTCTTCAACATCACTAGGCTCAAACGAGCAACATGGTGGGCACGAGCTCATGACCATAACCACTAGGCTACCGCGGCCACCTGAAACAGAAAACGTTATCTATATTTGAACCAGCATCTATTTGTGAGCAAAGTTTTTCTTGCACGAACACCAACAAGAGTAAATATAAACGCAAGTCGGCTGTGATGAAGATTTCAACGAGCAATCTCATTCCTGATTGCAGAAAAGTGTGATAAGTGCATTTGTCTTTCTAAATTGATTCATACATAACAAAATACTCAACTTTGGGATATTAATCCGTTAGAGCTAATTAATTAAAGATATTTAGCTGTAAAATTAATTATATAAACTGCTCACTTAAAATATGTAGTCAAATCGTTACCTAAAGTATTCATTAACATAAAAAAAATAAGACACTTCTTTCGACATTAACTACACTGTTGGCTACCGTAAATGTAATACCCTGAAGGAAGCATGCAAATAACCTGAAATTTACAACATGCATTAGCGGAGGTGAGATATGCAAATGATTAGAATTTCAGCGCAGACACACATCACGCGCGCCCTTGTGGCGCCACCTCAAAGCCTTAAGGCTTGAAGATTTCGACGATTTCAAGTTCGGCAATTCTGTTTTTCTTGTGGTTTTTTCAAAATACGATCAGTTATGTCTCGTACTAAACAGCGATCGGCTTTTGATCAAGTATCCGAGTTCGACAGAGGAAAGATAGTGGCGTACCGAGATTGTGAACTATCTTTCAGGAAAATCGGTAGACGTGTTGGACGAAACCAAACAACTGTAATGCGGATTTGTAACCATTGGATACAGAGGGGTACGATGGACCGACGTGGATGATCACATCCGCCTCAGTGCACCACTTCACGTGAGAACAGGCAAATTGTGCGCATGACGGTGACGGATCGCTCAGTCACATCACGAACCGTAGCACAGCACATTGAGTCTGTAACGCATCATTCAGTGTCTGCGCGTACCATTCGATGCCGTTTACAGCAGAGTGGTCTG